CAGATAAAGTCAGATTCCATAACTTTGTGTTCAGGGATAATCAGTTAGGAATTGTATTTGGCTGCAAATAACAGGGGCATAAAGAACAGTGCCAGCATGGTTATTCAGGGTTAATATTGTGACTTCTTGCTCTGTACTCTTCTCCCTTCTCAGGATCCCCTCATGGTCATAAAGTGGCCAGTGTAGTTCAGCCATGACTAGTCAGCCCCCTTTTGAAGTAGCATTCCAAAAGCCCTACGCAGTAACTTCTGTTTACCTATAGTTGGCCAGAATTTAGTCACTTGGCTACCCATATCTACTAGGGAAGATAGGGAATGTCGTTTTCCATTGCCAACTCATTCCCCACTCCCCAAATGAGCAAACAGAAATGCCATTCTCTTTTTAAAAAATGCTTATTTATTTATTTTGAGAGAGAGAGACAGTGTGAGTAGGGGAGGGGTGGAGAGAGAGAAAGAGAGCGAGAGAGAGAGAGAGAGAATCCCAAGCAGGCTCTGCATTGTCAGCATGGAGCCTATGTGGGGGCTCCAATTTATGAAGTGAGATCATGACCTGAGCCTACGCCAAGAGTCAGTTGCTTACCTGACTGAGCCAGCCAGGTGCCTTGCCATTCTCTTTTTAAAAAGAAGGGAAAAATAGATATTGGCAAGCGCCCAGCAAGATATCTGCTGCCGGTGCCTTTTATGATCTGCCCTAACCCTTTGGCTCCTCTGCTGTTGTAAGCACTTGAGAGTGGAGCTTCATAAGCACACTTGGCACTGGGAACCCCTTCACTTCCCTTCCCCCATATTTTATGCATATTCTGAAAGGCTTTTGTGTATCAGACAAACTAGACTTTAAACTAAAGGCTGTAACAAGAGATGAAGAAGGGCATTATATAATAATTACAGGGTCTATCCATCAAGAAGAACTAACAATTATAAATGTCTATGCACTGAATACGGGAGCCCCCAAATATATAAAACAATCACAAGCATAAGCAACCTTATTGACAAGAATGTGGTAATTGCAGGGGACTTTAATACCTCACTTACAACAATGGATAGATCATCTAGATACATGGTCAATAAAGAAACAGGGGCCCTGAATGATACATTGGATCAGATGGACTTGACATATATTTAGAACTCTGCATCCCAAAGCAACAGAATATACTTTCTTCTCGAGTGCACATGGAACATTCTCCAAGATAGATCACATACTGGGTCACAAAACAGCCCTTCATAAGTATACAAGAATTGAGATCATACCGTGCATACTTTCGGACCACAATGCTATGAAGCTTGAAATCAACCACAGGAAAAAGTCTGGAAAACCTCCAAAAGCATGGAGGTTAAAGAACACCCTACTAAAGAATGAATGGGTCAACCAGGCTATTAGAGAAGAAATTAAAGAATATATGGAAACAAATGAAAATGAAAATACAACAATCCAAATGCTTTGGGATGCAGCAAAGGCAGTCCTGAGAGGAAAATACATTGCAGTCCAGGTCTATCTCAAGAAACATGAAAGGCTTTTGTCTTCCATCCCAACTCTCAGCCTCTTAACCTCTAAGGATTTCTTCAGATCACGATTTCCTACAGGGGGACTTTCCAGGATCTGCAATCATAGCTGTGACTATAATAGATTATGACTGTCCTGCCCCTCCCCCCTTTCTTCTTGCATCTCCTCTCTCTGAATTCTTGGTAAGTTTTGGCCAGTATATTCCAGTTCCACAGTTAATTTTTCATATCCTCGGTGACTCTCTCATCCGCCCTGACACCTAGTATAATACATGTATATAACAAATGTCCAGTGCATGTTTATCGAATTCCACCACAGACCTGATGCAAGAGAATGGGAGAAGGTCCTTTTGTGCAATATTTTTCAGAGTGTTTTCCTTTTATGAGAGAAAATGATTGGTTACATCAGCATTATGAATATCCTATTCTGTTGGTAGCTGTTGGCTAATACTTAGGTCATTAGTTACTTTAGTGAATAGTCTGTTGGATGGAAGTACAAACAGCAGTTTGTTTGAAAATTACTGACATTGTAAACATGTAAGAAACATTAATAGTCTTGGCCTTTTGGAATGTGTGCTTGTGATGTGCCTAAGATTAGGGCACTCCACTGAGAACAATGAGAAAGGGAGGGGGACAATCAAAGCTTTTGTTCCTGTACAGCACCTGAAAGTACCATAAATGGATGGTCATCAAGCTGTTCAGGGGGTCAAAGGCAATAAGCCTAGGCACCTAAAGTTTGTTTGATAATGTGTCCTCTTCTAAATACATTTTTCATGTTTTTAAGTGGTACTTCCCAAACTACTTTTTCATGTTTTTTAGAGATATTTTCAAATTCCGGCTATTTGGGGGGATTATTCCTTCGACTTACACTTACTGATTTTGAGACGTTTACTTTATTTTTTAAATTATGACACTCTCGGTGCCTCAGTGATAATTGATTCGTTCAGGTTGTATTCATATATAAACATTAAGATGTATGGAAAATCTTTTATTTTTTTTTAATTTTTTTTATTTATTTTTGGGACAGAGAGAGAGACAGAGCATGAACGGGGGAGGGGCAGAGAGAGAGGGAGACACAGAATCAGAAACAGGCTCCAGGCTCTGAGCCATCAGCCCAGAGCCCGACGCGGGGCTCGAACTCACGGACCGCGAGATCGTGACCTGGCTGAAGTCGGCCGCTTAACCGACTGCGCCACCCAGGCGCCCCTGGAAAATCTTTTAATATGAAAAAATTTTTAACATGCATTTCTTGGTTATGGGACCTGGAAATAACATGAAGAATAGTTTATTCCTGGGACTTGTTTTAAAAACTGCATATAAACCATTCACTCGTGTCCAGTTGACTGAAGAATCATATTGAAGACCCTCCTAGATGGTTCATTTCTTCTCAAAGACCTGAACAAAATTGCTTCCTCTTGAATTTCGTGCCATGTCTAAAATCAGGTTTTAAGAATTTTCCAAGTGCAACTCTCTACCATTTACACTTTATACTCTGCTCATCCCTTCTTTCTGCAAGCTTTTTAATACTTGCTGAGCAGCACTTAGGATTAGTAGTGATACCAGGTGGGGTGACAGACAAGCAGGAAAGGTTTGAAGTAAAACTGGCAAATCAGCACTGTAGAGTGCCAGATGAGGGAGAGGTCAGCAAGGGCTAAGTGAGGAACTGGAGGAAACACCAAAAAATAACTAGCACGTTGGTTTTACAGGAGTGTTCAAGTTTTGAAGGAAGTGATGTTTGAGAATTGTGAGGGAGGAAACTAGGAGCATATCCCAGAATGGATGCAACCTTGGCTGCTATGGGAAGTAACAGGTGTCAGGGACTTTAGAACGCAGGGTCATTGTTGACTACATTCCCCTTGGTCTCCAAGAGGTGTCCACTTCTCACTCAGTGCTCACTGAAGCCCCTCTTTTCCTGTCACAAACAAATCATGCCTTTCACATGTCAACTAGACTTTCTAGTCCATCCCACATAACATCACCAGGTTAATATCCTTAGAATTTTTATTTTCATCAGGTAATTATCCTGATGATGATGATAAACTTCCAGAAACCTCCCATTTCCTGTAGATACAGTGTATTTTCCTCAGTCTGAAATTTATGGAACATCATCATCTGATACCACTCACCTGTGATGGTCTACATCTCATTTTTCCATTGACATTAAGCTATCTCTTCACTGCCTCAAGTATCCCCTAAGTAAATGATAATTTATTTTGCTATATAACTCTCCTTACCTTGGAGAGTCTTCCCCTTCTCTGTCTACCCATGCTTTAAGAACCAACTCAAGTCTCTTCTGAGGCTTTCTGTACAAATCTCTGTGGATGTGATTGTGTGATGATTTCTTCACAAATTTCATACATGCCACCCATTTTTCTCATAAACAAATGTTGCCCTAAATGAAAAGTGATTGTTTTGTCTTTTCATCTACACTGTAAGCTCTTTGAGACTAGTGACAATGCTATACAACGAGTTTTCTTCTATTTTAGCATCTTGCATAGCACCGTGCGCAGATTGGGCGTAGAGCGATGTTTCTTAGTCTGGCACCATCGCATTTTGGGTTGGATGATTTGTTTTTGTAGGGGACTATCTGAGCATTGTAGAGTGCTTAGAGCCTCCCTGTATTCTACCTGATAGATGCCAGTAGCACCCTCTCCCCAGTATGACAACCAAAAATGTCTCTGTTTATACCAAATGTTACATAGGGGACAAAGATAGCCTCAGGTGAGAATCACTGGTATAGAGGAAACAGAATAAATTCTGACCAGTGTCTTGGCAGAAATGGAAGACTGTAAAAAAGCTTTGAGTGACATTTTACAGCATTTTGGAATCTTGAGGAAAGACCAACTCAGTTGATAGAAGATAGTAGTTGTAAAATAGAACTCCCTGTTTGCTGTGATAGACCACAGCAAGGGTGTAGGCAATTGCAACACACCTAAGGTTAAGAAAGATCAAGATGAAGTGGATCTTAAGCTGAAGTTCCAGAAATACTGAATTTTTAGTTTTTACTTTATTTCAAGCCATTTCATATTAGAAATAGCATTTCCAATAAAATAGATATTATTTAATGAGAAATTTATCTGGAGTTCATACATACCCAATATCTTTGGACTAAAAACTACTTTTGAAGCATTTTGGGGGGAGTGAGTTTGAAATTACAGGTACAGGTTATTATAAAGTTGCAACTATTGACAAGTATCAGTTGTATTTATTCATAGTTTTACCTCTTTTTTTTTTTACTGCTTTAACATTATACTTAAGTTTAGGCAGTTTTCCAGACCCAAGCGACACACACACACACACACACACACACCCTACATGTATGTGAGAGTATTTAGTCTAACAGTGCTTACCACACTCAGACATAGTGAATTTATATATTTCTGCTATTCTGTTGTAAGTTCTTAGTCTTCTCTTTTATTATCACACTACTATATGACATAGATGCTATACGGTTGATGTTCAACTGACCTAGAAGTAATGCATTAAATCCTCTCTTCACAGCTGTATGCCAACCACAGTGCAAACATGGTGAATGTATTGGACCCAACAAGTGCAAGTGCCATCCTGGATATGCTGGAAAAACCTGCAGTCAAGGTAGGAAAACAGACATAAATTACAATCACAAACCCCCTCTATTTCTGCCTAATATAAAAATTAGAGGTTCTCATGCCAAACCACTTTTCCACGACTGCTGTTTCTAAATGTGTGAGCTGCCATGTTCTGAAAGATAAAAATATAATGTGAAATCTTAAAATGTATTGCATCAGAGGGCAATTAAAAGAATTTCATCCTCTTATTCATTGATACTAATTAAAATACACATTTAAAGAAGAGAAGCACAGCATCAGTAATGTAGAAGCCTTCCATTCTGCTCATCTTTGTTTCTCCACTAACTAGTTGGGAAGCTCTGGCTGATTTTTGGCCTCCTTGGCCCCCTGTTAGGTGAAACACCTTCAGTACTCAAAGTTAGGTAGGAGTTTGAGGTCCGTTCAAACTCTGAGCCCTTTCGTTTTTGAGATTAAATTCCGTTCAACTATTACCAGATTGCAAAAGTTCCTCTGAGAAATAAAGATTTTGACTAATTTATGTTTGTTTTAAGTTGTTTATAAAAGCAGGTGTTTACTTAGCACAGTGCTCAGGTAGTTTACATATATTATCTATTTTCATTATTACAGTGTCAGGAGGTAAAGTGTTATTTATGATAACTAAATGATAAATAATAGCTTATTGTTATTTTTCACTTAAAGAGATATCAGGGATATTAAGTATCGTGTCTAAGTTCACAGAATTAGTTGGTGAAAGATCCAGTATATGTCTATTTAGGACTGTTGGCCATGTAAGAAAAGCTGGGGTTAGATTTCACCAGAGAGATACAAGGATAAGAGTCAATTTTTACTTATTTCTTAAATGTAAGTAATATGTTCTATCCTTTTTAGTGTTGAATGAAACAGTTACATGGGGCCTGTCTCATAGATGACTTAGTTGACCTCATCAGATATGGAAATGATATTTTTGAAACACTCCTGTTCATCAATATCTGATACTCCTTGATATGCCTCATGTAAACTCCTGACTTATGGGCATAATTTCCACAACAGTACAGAAAAACTTATGTTTAAAAGTATATGTAATTATTCCTGAACTGTCAGAGGAAATCCATGCTAATGAAATGTGACATATCCAATGGTAGGAGAAACTGTTATTCTAAAGTATGTTCTGTATTATCTGTTATTTGATTAACTTTTTTTCCAATGCTTCTTTTATGTCTTATAATATTTTTTAACTTGGAATTTACCAAACATACCTGGATAGTCTTTTTGAAGTGGAGTTTTTATGATCTCAGTTTACTCTTTTAAAAATCCATTTAATTTTCCTTCCGCAGTCTAAGTTTGCAAGTAGTGACATGTTCAGTTCTGATTATTGAGTTCTCAATGTGTTCATCTTAGAGTTCCCACATGCTTCCTTTTTTAAAGTGGTGAACATAAACTATCAGAGGTTTCATCAATATGTCAGTACCATAAAACTTTGTTGTCCTGATGCCAGGAATTTATACAAAGGAGGTTATTATAAGAAACCACTGTTGAGATTGCAGAGAAATTCATTTAAATTTATTTTCAGGAACTGCATCAACTTTAATATGTTTCAAAGCCACTGAAACTATTACTGTAACAAGGATTTATCTCTGGGTATCTCCTATTTTCAGAAAAACCAGTTTATCATGTACTTTTTACTGTAATACATACCTGTTTCTCTAAAGAAAAGTTGAAATTTACTGAGTTGAAATCTTGCCTCCTAAAACTATATTCCTTAGGGGGAAAGAGGATTTCATTAGTAGCAAAATGGGATTTTACACCTGCAAAAAATAGTGCGGACACTGAAAATGTAATTTCAAGTCCAATCTTGAATATAAAACCACAGCTTACAGTAAACATATGTTTTTGATTATCTCTTTCTTTGCCTTCCTTACCAAAAAAGCAATTGTGACAAGTTCCCAATGGCATGGTTTATGGTGTTTGAGAGCAAGAATCCTTTTTGGTCTCTGATTTCTAGATTCCTGAAAACTATTATTAAAATGACTTGCACACGCTAAGTGCACATTAAATATTTGCTAAATGAATGATTGTTTCATATAATGGCTCTTGGTCCTGAACACCATACTTGTGCAGTTGCCCGGTCCAGCACTGTAGACAGTCTCTGAGTCTGTGGGCTGAGAGCCCTCATCAGGGTGAGAGGCAGCTGTGGAGGAGCTGGCTAAGTGGGAGAACTGTCCAGAGACACAAGGAAATGATATTAGAGTAAATTGTCTATATCTGTTACATAGCAAATTAATGTAGACTGTTTTTATCTGGCACATACATTTTAATAAACTGGCAAATATGCCTCAGAGATATTGGAACTCCCAACAGGTTTCTTTTTTCTTCAGGAGAAATGTCAAGAAGAGGTATATTTGAGATGATTTCATAGAACTGGAAATTAGCTTTTCATTGAAAGTAGGTTTCTGTGTAAGGCAAGTATTCGCTAAAAAATTTGTTGCAAGTTGTGTGATGTAAGAAATAACCTCCTGCAGACTTGATTGGTGGAGTGAACAGCTTGTATGAATGACAAGCATTTAGCAAGTGCTTTCAGAGCTACCTGGGGGCAGCCAGAATAGCAGGGCAAGCCCACTTTGCAACTGGCTTAAGTTAACAGCCTTGTTGCAGGATTGGTGTGAATCTGCTGTGGGTGGCTTGCTTTTTTCCCTCTGAGTCACTTCTGGATTTGTGATGGCTAGATCACATATAAAATCATAGGCTCGGCCTGATCATTAGCACATTCTATACGGCACATGGTACCTTTCACAGTAATGAAATGCTAATCCTAACTCTGGTTTGCTTTTCCTCCACTGTATTTTTCTGGCAATTTTTATTCATGCATACTCTTCTCCTCTTTGAGTCGCTGTACCCATACCAATTCTCTTTCCCCTCAGCCAAAAAATGATACTGTTATAGGTAATCTTTTTATAACTTTCCAATTAGGGAATGATTTTTATCATGTAATATGTCCTATCATTGCATATTTTCAGAAATGAAAGATCTGTGTTCTTGAATGCAAGAGGTGGGCCCCCTTTACAACCAGAGCCATGGCTAGGGTTAGGGTTGGCAACCAGGAAGTGCCATGGGCCGAACCACCCACAGTGCAGCGATCTCCTGGAAGGGTTGAGTTGAGGGAACATGGTCAGGTATGGGTCAGGCTTAGGGTTTGGAATCAGGAGCCAGAAGATTGAATGGACCACGGTTAGGTAAGTTCTCCTGATCACCCCCTGCAGCCGCATCCTGGCCCTGGAAATGGTACCATGCAATTCTGGCTTATATTAAGGGCTTATAATAATTTCAGAAGAAACAGTTTATAAAATCAGTTCCTAATGTTTTGACAAAGTTTATGTTTCATATGTTGAATTCCTCACCCCAAGATCTAGTATCTCATAGCACAGAACCAGACAGTACATTTTGGTGGCTTAGGTAAATCTGAAAGTTGATTGCCTTCCTTAGGACAACAGTCTAAATGCTATACCCCTGGGTAGTAAGGTAATTCCAGATAGCCTTACTTTTTAAAAGATGTGTGGTTTCAACCCAGAAACCAGTGTTCATTTAATTGGGAATATTAACTGGTTATTAATAGTATGAAAGCCTTGAAACAGGATGCGATTGCTTTTTTGACTCTACTTTCGAGTTACTCATCTTATTTTGGTAAGTTAATAATGGCAAGAGTTAACCTCTTTTGTGGAAAGCTTACTGTGTATTCCTACTAAGTGTGACCTAAATGTAACACGAGTTCTTACATGTGAATAACATTGGTGAACTGTCATGCTATTTATTTTAAAAAGCTCTATGCAAATCATAAATTTGTGCGTAGTTGTGGAGTATTTTAAACTATTGGACAACATAATAAGGAAAAGTCTTGATTGGACTTTTAAGACTTCAGTGTCAGGTAGACTGTAATCAGTATTTGTATAATCGAGTTTTCTGTCTTTGTCAGTGACTACAATCAGGCTTTAAAAAATGACCATCTCTTTTTTAGTGGTTTCTCTAAAGATTGGTGTAGGAATGATGTATGTGTGTGTGCATGTGTGTAAAATGTACTTGTGTTCTTGGGAGGCAAGATGGCAGTGATAAATTTTAAGGAAAATAGAAATTAAAATTTAAAAAACCAGAAGAACTAGAAACTGATTTTTAAAAAGCATGTACAGTATCCTTTTTGAAATCCACCAACTTTATGTAATTGTTTAATATATACTTATAAAGATTTTTAGGGCTAAAAATGACATCAGTTCAAAGTTGACTCTTATTACCTTCTTCCTGGTGTGAAGACGAACACTTCTACCCAACTCCTCTTGACCAAGGCAGTGAACAGCCTCTTTTCCAACCCCTGGATCATCAAGCCACAAGTTTACCTTCAAGGGGTGAGCGTGTATTATCTCAGGTGGTTTGCTCTCCCACCTGCACGGCTTCCTGCAGTTTCATCACTTTTTGCAAATATCCTGAAGACTAGCCCCAGGAGTACCCAGCCTTCGGCATCCTGAGCATGTGAAGCAAGCAACAGGAATTGTCACCTGGTGCTGATTCTCTGTGCTCTAAAAAGCCTGGAGCCTCCACTGTCCTTTCACTGCATTAGAAATATCATTGCTTCTCTTCTTCTTTTCTGGGCTTCCGAATGTTTTCTAAAAGTCAAATGGCAAAATAACCTTAATTTTAATAGGTGAAGTCAGGAATTCCAAAGCAACTGAGATTGGGATTTTGATGACTTTTGCTAAGTAGATTTCAGAAATGATGAAGTCCTCTCCCCTGCCACCATATCTGGAGAATAGAGTTTTAGGTTACCTGGAAATCAAACCATACGTTATTAATTTATTCTTTTGATGTACATTTTGTGACATTAGAAAGCCTAGGTTCTGGTTCAGTATAGCCTTTAAGTGGCTCTGTGATTATAAGCAAGTCATTTCGTGTGTCTGAGTCTTAGCAAACCAATTAGTAACGGGGAGAGAATTCTTGCCCTATTCACCTGTAGGGCTGGTGTGGGAACAGGCATACCAGAAATACTAATGTTTTCATTATGATGAAGTTTTGTACGAAAGTCCGGTGGCAGCATGATTTTACAGTTTTTCTTCTAAAAGACTGTATCCTTTACCCACCCCTAAATTTAGAAAATTAGAATGACTGAATTAAAATAGTTTAAATTATTAATTAGTTTCTCTCTGCTGATAGCAACTTAATGCACTTGTGTATCTTCTGCATAAAGAATTAGGGCAATAGAAGTAATTTCAATCATTGAGTTTTAAACAATGAAAGTTATGGCAGTTGAATGACATCTATTTGCCTATGACCTCCACGTTAGATAAAATGTAAAAGGTTAAATTTCTGAGACGTTGCCGAGTTTAAGTGTCAAAGAAGAAAAAAAAAGTCTAAATGTATTGAATGAAGATTATTTTCCTTAAAATCCATTGGGTTATCTTATTCAGTGAATCTATTCTAGATTTTTTAGGCTATTTTTCAGTGTCTGCATGCTAACAAAATTTCTGATTCTTTTTTTCCTACAGTGTAATTATAATGCTGTGCAGCTTGCATTTTTGTTCTGGACTCTCTTCTTACTCTCCCCTCCACCCCCCCATCCTACCTTCCCAAGCTCCTGAATCCATCAACCTGCTTAAATATATGCCTCACTGTAATAGATGTGCTTTAAGAATGTATATGTGATAATTGAAGCATTTGAAATGTAAGTGGTTTAATTGTAAAGTGATGTCTTTTGATGTGATAAAATAGGTACATGACAGAATTAATTTTTTTATTGTAGAGTTTCCTTATAATTTATATTACAAACTTCTAGAGAAAGAACAAGATTAAAGTGAATTTAGGTAAATACACTAAAGTTTTCTTTCCTAGGTTCTTTCATCACCTTTAAAACTGATTTGAGAAAGTGTGATCATGTTCTTTATATTGTTCTACTTGTTAAATTTTTTTAACATTTATTTTTGAGAGACAGAGACAGAGTACAAGTTGGGGGGTGGGTCAAAGAGAGAGGTAGACACAGAATCTGAAGCAGGCTCCAGGCTCTGAGCTGTCAGCCCAGAGCCCAACGTGGGGCTCAAACTCACGAGCTGTGAGATGATGACCTGAGCCAAAGTCAGATGCTCAACTGACTGAGCAACCCAGGCGCCCTGTTCTACTTGTTATTATAGGAGAATTTGCTGCAAATTGGCAGTGGTGTTTTTGAATTTCTGACTTGATAGCAAGACGTGTTACTAGGTCAGTGGTCTAAGAGGTTTTGGAAGCAGCACATATTAACTCAATTTTGTAAGGCATTTGGTCAATAAGAAAATAAAGCTATAATAATCATAAACTAGAAACCCTGAAGAAAATTGAGAAAAAAAGAAGTTCATCACCAGGACACCAGATGCTTTTAATCTTTTGAAGCTCCCTGCTTTAGCAGAAGTCTGATATTTGGTAAATATTGATAACACGGATTATTGTGGAATTCTATTTCATAATTTCTGCAGTGGTTTTTGTAAGGGTCAGTGTGAAGTTTTTAGGACGCACATGCCTGTAGCAGATGGAGCAATGGTGGCAGTCACTGGAGGCATCGACACCAGCCAGCTGTCAGTGGGTATCAGCCACTCCATCACCAGCTGTTAGAGTACAGCTTTCTCAGATTGCTTTCAGCGTATTAGATATTTATGTGTCAGTTTAATAATAGTGAAGTAGCCAACAAACGTCTTTGCATTTACCCATTGAATGCTGCATGTTTATTTCCTCTTCCATATTATTTCATACGGATTCCCAGGTGGGGGATTTGTTTTTGTTTGTTTTTGAATTATGACATCTTGTTTTTCACTTCCTTTCGGCTTCGTGATTCTTAACCCAAGAGTACTCTTTTTCTCATGGGAAGGGAAGGATAAATGTGGACTGAAGACCACTGGCAGCCCCAGTCTGGATCATGAAAACTCTCATAGCAATCTTGAGGGGTCCTTTGTTGGTCAAGAGTGGAGCTGCCATAACTTGGCTTCAGCTTTAGTTCATGGACAGTGTCTAAAGAAATTTCCATCAGCATAAATATCCCTTGTATAAGCTGCTTAGAGCTGCAGACATCTGGCCAATTTCCATCAGGAACCCACAGAAGTTTCTGTGGCTCTTTAAAAATAAACCTAAGTGTTCTTAATTGACACATTTTAGATCCATCAATAACTTTCCCTTGAAATGTAGAACTCAGTCTTAATCTATGGCTTTATTGTACTGTTCGGTTTTTTTTAATGTTTATTTTTGAGAGAGAGAGAGAAAGAAAGTGGGGGGGGGGAAGCAGAGAGAGAGAGAGGTAGAGAGAGGAAGACACAGAATCTGAAGCAGGCTCCAGGCTCTGAGCTGTCTGCACAGAGCCCAAAGTGGGGCTTGAACTCAAGAACTGCAAGATCATGACCTGAGCTGAAGTGCGATGCTTAACTGACTGAGTCACCCAGGCACCCCTCTACTGTTCTGTTTTATATTTGCTTAGTGCAAAAAATATTTAAAACATAAAGCCTTTCTCTAACAATGTGCTCAGATTTAAATACCATTTAAATTTTTATTTTAAATGTTTTTATTTATTTATTTTGAATTGGGGGCAGAGAGAGAGAAAGGGAGAGAGAGACTCCCAAGCAGATTTCCATGCTGTCAGCGCAGAGCCCGATGGAGGGCTGGGTCTCTCAAACCGTGAGATCATGACCTGAGCCAAAACCAAGAATCAGACACTTAACCCACTGAGATACCCAGGTGCCCCTAAATACTATTTAATACCAACCAGGAACTTATCAAATCCAGGTGCGAAACTGCAGGGATGTATGGATATATTGGGAATGATAATTAATTTCTCTTAGAACATGAGAAAAGATTCCCTGACTCTAACTTTTAGTAAATACTGAAATACAAGTTGGAAGAATATTAGAGGTGGAGTGAATTTCTTTCTCTTTCTTCCTTTATTTAAAATTTTTACTTCATGTAACAGAGAAGTCAAATTTTTGGTTGCCACTATAATCTGCAAAGCACCTTCCTTGAGGAAATTTAAAAATATATATATTTTAAAATATGATTCTGTTTTGAATGCCCTTGACCGGGCATGAGACAATAAAGTAGAAAACTGAAGAAAGCATGGGAGATGATGAAGGCATCTGGTTTCCTTAGTTAACCTTCCTAGGCTTTGCCCAGCTGGGGACCTGCTCACTGTCGTGTTAAGGTTAGAAAAAGGACCATGTTGGAAAGTTAGTAAGATATGAAAACATTTGTAGATGTAACAACTATTAGGTGGTTTTAAAAGCAGTGTAATTTGGTGGTTTAATTAAATGAAATCTATAAATTACCAGTAAACGAGCAGATCAGATTTAAATTCGATTAGGTTAAAACACCTTGTCACTAGATATACCTGTATTTCTGATTTGATGACATGAATTAATAGATAATTTATCTCATCAGGTGCTTATGCTGATAGTTCCAGACACAGTAAACATGTGGTCGTATTTATTTTTAATGAAGTCTGTATTTTGGGCATTAGTATTTCATTTTGTCACTATGAGTTTTATGTTCACTTGAAGCAATATTCACCTTGGGCTAGAAAATTCTTACAATGTGAAGTTTAGTAATTTTATGTTGATATTTAAATGGACAAACCTAAAATACATAGTAGTCCACCATGTATCATCCAGTAGTGTTTCCATATACCTTTCTTAACTGCCCAATGAAAACATGTTGGAGGGTAGGATTTTTTGTTTATTTTGTGACCCGAATACATCAGTAAAGCAGGAAACTGAAATTTCTTCTTTAATCTGAGATCAGTGTAGAGAATCTGTAAAACTGAACAAGAGAAACCACACTAGTGATCACTGTAATTCATGGAGCTCTTATCCTCTGAAAATAGAGCTTTCCTTTGGAAAGGCCAAAGCAGTCTCCTGTTTTAAAATCTGTACACTTCCTGTAAACTAAGAAAGGCTCACAGAGTATCTTTTAAAACAGAAAGAGATTGAAAGAGCAAGATCACATAATCAGAAGTGAAGATGGTAGTAAACCTAGATATTTGGAGGATATTGGAGTCAGGTAGGTGGTAGGCACCTCTACCCATGAGGCGGATAGTCGTCTGCTCTTTCTAGGGGTGATCAGGTAGGCACGTGTCTGTGAGGAGAATTTTTCAAATTGTCCTTTGTGGACAAGTACTCTGTAATCAAAGTTCCAGAAATTCACACAGCCCTCTCATTGTTATAAGGTCATTACTGATGGAAAGTTCTTGGTCACCCCTAGTGTAAAATTAACCTTAAAATTAAGATGGCGTAAAGAAGCTCTATCTCTTATGGAAATTACTGGTTACGGTAGCTTGACCTTCTTTTCTCATTTATTCTTTAATATAGAGAGGTATTTTAAATGGTTTATATTAGTGTTGAGGTTTTCTCATTTTGTTGCATCAACCCCCATTCTTTCCAGATCTAAATGAGTGTGGCCTGAAGCCGCGACCCTGCAAGCACAGGTGCATGAACACTTACGGCAGCTACAAGTGCTACTGTCTCAACGGATATATGCTCATGCCAGATGGGTCCTGCTCAAGTATGTCAAGAATCTTAACTGTTTTATAAGTGCTCTGGCTTGATTTCACATGGTGCTCTGATAGGGTGTGTGAAAATAGCCTCCCAGGCTGTCCTAACCAGGATGTGAGCATATAGTTATATGTGTGCCTAAAGAATGGAAAATCAAAATAAAAATTGCCCTTTTACGTGTCTAGCATTATTTTACCATGGGTGTCCGCGTTAAACTGATTTGGAAGTGGTATTTAGAACAAGAATTGTAAACTTAAATGTGTTTTCTAATGTTTTTTCCCCAACACATTTTTGCCTGTCTTCTAGCTGGGCAAAGAACTGCTCTAGCCGGAAAAGGAGCATTCGTACCTATGTGAGGACTGTGTTGCTGTTCACAAGGACAGACACTAAACTGTTAGATGGTAGAGAATCCATCAGAGGACCCAGTAACGCTTGATTGAGTATAAACCATTCATAAATACCTTCTCACTTCACGTTTACATTTCTTTATAGTCGTCTAAAGACTAAGATATCCCTTTTCTAAAAAACAAAATCTACTTCAACTGAAAAAAAGAAATGATTACAGTAACATGAAAGTAGATTTCATGTCTTTGTGAGAAAGAAATGTATCGTGTTTTCGTACTGTCATTTGGATGTGTTTATAAGATGGACAATGCCCCAAAGGCTGTAGGCTGAACATTGAATTGAGATGGTGTTTATATAATACCATAATGACAATGACCTATATAATGACAATTGATGACTTGATTTTCATTTTTATTGAGTTACCTGTTAAATTAGCTAATTATAAATTAGTTAATTACCTGTTATCTCTCTTGAACTGGGTTGCATTTTATTAGAAAAGTTGAGCTAATCTTAGTTAGCTTTGCATATTTAGCATGGAACCTTTAGAATTAGGTGAATTCATGTTTAATACTATGTGGCAGTGATGCTGGAATCCTCCAACATTGTACACCTCAGTGGGATGTTTTATGTTCCTAGAAAAATTTAGTGGGAGATTGAGAAAGTTAATTGGATGTTTTAGTTAAGACTGGCATTTAGCATGAGTAATCTGGAAAATTACCTCAATCTTCCACTTTTCCTTGGCCACTGGAAAATTTTCCAGATAATCTACGTGAGGTAAAGTTTTAGATTTGTCTTTTAATTTTTTTTTTTTTAATTTTTTTTTTCAACGTTTATTTATTTTTGGGACAGAGAGAGACAGAGCATGAATGGGGGAGGGGCAGAGAGAGAGGGAGACACAGAATCAGAAACAGGCTCCAGGCTCTGAGCCATCAGCCCAGAGCCTGACGCGGGGCTCGAACTCACGGACCGCGAGATCGTGACCTGGCTGAAGTCGGACGCTTAACCGACTGCGCCACCCAGGCGCCCTGTCTTTTAATTTTTAATTTTTTATTTTTTTCATATATGAAATTTATTATCAAATTGGTTTCCATACAACACCCAGTGCTCATCCCAAAAGATGCCCTCTTCAATACCCATCGCCCCCTTCAGGCAGGGGACGAGCTCGCGCTCAACCCTCAGTTTGTTCTCAGTTTTTAAGAGTCTCTTATGCTTTGGCTCTCTCCCACTCTAACCTCTTTGGTTTTTTTTTTCCCTTTTCCCTCCCCCATGGGTTTCTGTTAAGTTGCTCAGGATCCACATAAGAGTGAAAGTTTCTCTGTATGGCTTATTTCACTTAGCATCACACTCTCCAGTTCCATCCACGTTGCTACAAAGGGCCATATTTCCTTCTTTCTCATTGCCACGTAGTACTCCATTGTGTATATAAACCACAATTTCTTTATCCATTCATCAGTTGATGGACATTTAGGCTCTTTCCACAATTTGGCTATTGTTGAGAGTGCTGCTATAAACATTGGGGTACAAGTGCCCCTGTGCATCAGTACTCCTGTATCCCTTGGGTAAATCCCTAGCAGTGCTACTGCTGGGTCATAGGGTAGGTCTATTTTTAATTTTTTGAGGAACCGCCACACTGTTTTCCAGAGTGGCTGCACCAGTTTGCATTCCCACCAACAGTACAAGAGGGTTCCCGTTTCTCCATATCCTCGCCAGCATCTATAGTCTCCTGATTTGTTCATTTTGGCCACTCTGACTGGTGTGAGGTGATATCTGAGTGTGGTTTTGATTTGTATTTCCCTGATGAGGAGCGATGTTGAGCATCTTTTGTCTTTTAATTTTTGAAATGCATTAAAGGTCTTCCTCAGATGATAACAGAGCTGGTTCACTTCTTAATCTTCTTGATCCCTGGGGGAGTAAGGTCTTTCTGTCCCTCTGTTTTCGACTGTCTTTAGACTGTTGGATAATTGAGGCCTTTTTGTCTTCATTGTTGATTCAGTGTCAAGTTAAAAAAACAGTCACAGAATTTTTCCTCTGCTTCTCTGAGTCAGCCAGTCACGCTCTTTCCAGGTGCCCTGACGTGCTCCATGGCAAACTGTCAGTATGGCTGTGATGTTGTCAAAGGACAGATACGGTGCCAGTGCCCCTCTCCTGGCCTACAGCTGGCTCCTGATGGGAGGACCTGTATGGGTGAGTTGTAAAATCAAGCGTCTCTGTCAGCAGCCTCTCTAGGATAAAAGGACAAAGGGAAAGGTGATGGAGTAAGGAAACGAGGCAGTTACCTACATCAGGCAAGTAGCTATCCTTCAGAAGATAGCACGTGTCTCAGGAGAGGACCTCTCTCTATGAATGGAGAATGGACACCTTATTTCCCTAAAAATGAGGGACGGGGGGAAGCTTCGGGCAGAGGAAACCACATGTGCAAAGACTTTGAAGTTTAAGAGAGCACAATATTCAGGAAAGGCAAAGGAGCTCAGTGTTTCTAGAATGTTAAGAAGGAATGAGTGATAAAGCTGAATAGGTAGGCAGGGATAGGTTATATATGCTGTGCTAAAGAGTTAGATTTTTTTCTTGTAAATTAGGAAAACAGTATAGGATTGTGGTTAACCGTCTGGGCTTTGATTTCAAACCTAGCTCTGCTGTGTGCTTGATATGTAGCCTTAGGCAAGAGACTTCCTTTCTTCAAGCTTGAATCTCCTCATCTTTAAAATGGGAGTAATGCCATGTAGAACCATTATAAGGATTGAATGGGATTATATATGCGAAGAGCTGAGCAGAGTACCTAGCATGTAATACGCTCTCAATGAATAGAGGTATTGAGTGATTCCAGAGAGATTTATTTAGTACTTTCTATATTTCAGGTGCTGTGCCAAGTGTTAGGATATATAGTAGGGGACACGGCAGACAAGATTTTGGTCCTCACAAAGCTGATAATCTAATGGGAAGACAGAAAAGAAACAAATATCCAACAAAATTACAAACAATACTAAATGTTAATATGAGGTATTAAGAGAAAACCATAAAAGGTCTATTTTAGAAAATAATGGTAGAAATGGTGCAGGGCACTGCACTGGAAGAAGAGAGGCTGGCCTGTGTGAGGTTTAGAAAGAAAGAAGGCCAATGTGGCTTCAGTACAGAGTGAGCGTGAGGGGCAGTGGCTTGCGTTACAGCTGGTGAGGTACATAAGGACTACATAGTTATTGCAGGGTGATCACAGACATTGTGAGGAATGGATTTAACTTAAGAAGCAAGTGGAAACAGTTGAGGAGTCTTAAGCATGGTAATATCCCAATTTTATGTTTTAATAAAAGATTTTGACAGTTGAGAGGGAGTGCTCTGGAGGGGGTAAGATTGGCAGGGAAAACACTGGTTCCGAGGCTCTTGCAACAGTCTGACCGAGAAGATTGCAGCTTGGACTAGGGTAGAGGTAGTGGGTGAAGAGAAGACTAGATGAGTTCTGATCACTTTTCAGAGGTAGAATTAACTGGGCCTGATGATTTGAGGTTATGGGAAATAGGGTTGTCAAGGATGCTTCCTGTTTCCAGTTGGAGCAACTAGTGGATACAGGTGCAATCTCTGCTGAGCTATGGTGCGAGAGCAGGACAGCTTTGGTCAGGAGGATGCATGGAAATTTGGAGGTGTGGAATTTATGGTGCCTGTCAGGGCAACGAGCTGGATAACATTTATGATGAGCCACTCTGTTCCAGGCAGCTGTGTGTGGACATTTATTTTAAAATCGATCGCATCTGAACATGGCGATGCTGCTCCTCTGAGACGCAATTGATTTATGTTTCTAGATGTTGATGAATGTGCCACCGGGAGAGTGTCCTGCCCTAGATTTAGGCAGTGTGTCAACACTTTTGGGAGCTACATCTGCAAGTGTCATAAAGGCTTCGACCTCATGTACATTGCAGGCAAATACCAATGTCACGGTAATGAGCCCTGACCGTCATTTTGTTTTGTTTCTTCCTGTGGTGCGGGAAGCTTTTTTAACTGGGCTGGTGATTGGGATGTTAGACGCAGGGGAGGGTACCGGCCTTACATTAAGCAGAAGTCCAGTTCAACCACTGGTAGTCCTGGATGTACATGTGCTTTATTTCTCCCGTGTATCTGCTGATTTTACACGGACCTTTCAAAAAAAATTTTTTGGAGATTCTATATAGTTTTGCTGCCATCATATTCCTCTCCCGGATAAACTCCCTTGTTTTCCCACTTCCTGATGCAGATATAGATGAATGTTCCCTTGGTCAGTATCAGTGCAGCCGCTTCGCTCGATGTTACAACTTGCACGGGTCCTACAAGTGTAAATGTAAAGATGGATACCAGGGCGATGGACTGAGTTGTGTGTGTAAGTAGTGCTTATCTCCCACCTTTCAATTCTAGCAGGATATATGGAATTGCACAAAGGCAGTTATTGGGGAAGATGAGGAACTAGATTAATTATCAAGAAAGTATCATTTTTGTAGCTAATAATATAGTCTATTTTCTGCAATCAAATCACTTTACTCAGGTATTTTAAAAAATTAATGACTCAGTAAACATTCCTTTTTTTTTTAATGTTTATTTATTTTGAGAGAGGGAGAGAGAGAGAACAGGAGCAGAGGAGGGGTCAGAGAGAGGAGAGAGAGAATCCCAAGCAGGCTCTGCACTGTCAGTACAGAATCACAATGGGGTTCGATCCCATGAACCATGAGATCATGACCTGAGCTGAAATCAAGAGTCAGACACTTAACTGACTGAGCCACCCAGGCACCCCAATGCAGTAATACATTCTAATCTTAAAAGCATTCAATTCCTGGGCTAAAACTTCTCAATAGTCTCTGTTTGGCTGGCAAGAAATTATGGAGCTCTCTCTGAAAATCAGATATTGTTATAATCAGAAATAAAAGTTTGTCATTAACATTAGATTATGACAGGGAGAAAATATGAATATATTCTACGTCTTTTGTTCCTCTGTTTTATGTCTCCAAATTCTATTAAAAAATCATTCTGATATTTATTTACTCTAAATTTAGAACTGTTTTTGCTTTTTAAATTCTTACAAGCTCAATTCTTACAAGCTCTGCTTGGAGTATGGCTATGTTAGTTGATAAACATGAAAAAAATAACCTCCAAGAGCAAGTTTTACAAATCAAAGACCATAATCTTGTATATAGTTCATGTGACAATAGATAATTTTTAAATTTTTGGAGTAAAATATTTACTGAAAATCATGAGCCATAAAATCATGGGGATTAAGGAATTTTTGAAGGGTCATGTAGTCATACTCCCAGCCTGGAATGAGTGTATCATTCCAGGAAGATTAACTATTAATTCCTTTTGGTGAAGATAAGCACAAAAAAAAAAAGATTCCACAGATAATCACAGTGACCTCTGAATTTTTTTAAGTGATAGTATAAATTAGTAAGGGGGAAAGCAAACCAAGTTTAAAAATATACAGAACATTTAATGAAAACACTTTGCATGAAAACAGATGAACATATGGGAAGGGGTAGGAAGAGAAGAGAGAAAAACTAACCACAAGAGATTCTTAGTAATAGAGAATAAACTGAAGATTGACGGAGGGAAGTGGGTGGGGGAATAGGCTAGGTGGGTGATGGGTACCAAGGAGGGCACTTGTGATGAGCACTGGGTGTCGTATGTAAGTGTTAAATCACTTAAATCTACTCCTGAAACCAGTATTGCCCTGTATGTTAACTAAAATTTAAATGAAAATAAAAGAAGGAAGGAAGGAAAGAAGGAGGGAAAGGAGGAGGGAAAGAAGGAAGAAAATGTTTTGCATGAGTTGAATTTATATAGAGTATGGAAAAGTATTAGTCTTTAGACAGTTTGAAACACGATTTTATTATATGGGTGTGCCATAGGGACACTTAACATAGACTCTCAACATACATTTCTCATATTTTAAAAAATTTAGAATGTTTCTGCTTTTAAAAAAATCTCAGTGATGTCTATTTCCATTTCACAGAGGCTTGAAATTCTTTGTGTTTTAAATAATACATATCCCTTACAGAAATACCAATATAACTTCTGCATATATCTGCAGGATGGATATATGTGTGTATGAATACATATGTATATATCAAATACATATACACACAGTTGTTATTTGGAAAAGTATGACTTACAGTAAGGGAATATTCTACATGTGAAAAGTAAGCCTAGTTGACATTAGATATGCTAATGTGTTTTTCACAATTTGATTCCAAAACTGACCTTTTTTTTTTTAATGTTTATTTATTTTGAAAGAGAGAGAGCACACATGTGAGAGAAGTGGGGGGAGGGGCAGAGAGCGAGAATCCCAAGCAGGCTCTGCTCTGTCAGTTCAGAGCCCGACATGGGGCTTGAACTCACAAAGTGTGCGATCATGACTTGAGTTGAAATCAAGAGTCAGACATTTAAGCAACTGAGCCACCCAGGCGCCCCTGCACAACTAAGCTTTTAGAGAGAGATGGTCACACACTAATTTAAATTCTTTGACTCTTTCAGATATTCCAAAAGTCATGATTGAGCCATCAGGTCCAATTCATGTACCAAAGGGAAATGGTACTATTTCAAAGGGTGACGGAGGACACAGTAATTGGATTCCTGACGTTGGAAGTACTAGGTGGCCTCTGAAGACACCATATATTCCTCCTGCTACCAACAGGCCCACTTTTAAGCCAACAATAAGACCTACACCAGAGCCAACACCGCAGCCAACCCCACCGCCATCCACAGAATTCGGAACATCACCAATAACAACCCCGGAAAGACCAAGCACCAGACTAACAACTGTACTGCCAGTTGCCACTACATCTCCAAGATGGATTACAGTTGACAACAGGATACAGACAGATCCTCAGAAGCCCAGAGGAGATGTGTTCAGTAAGTCATATAAATGTTAGCACATTTTGGGTTTTTTTCCAGTTTTATTGAACTATAATTGACATACAGGGCTATATACGTTTAAGGAATACAGTGTAATGGCTTGACTTACATAGATCGTGAAATGATTACCACAGTAAGTTTAGTTAACATCCATCATCTCATATAGGTATATAAGAAAAAAATTTTTCTGTGATGAGAACTTTTAGGATTTATTTTCATAACAACTTTCATATAAATCCAATAGCAGTGTTAACTGTAGTCATAACATTGTACATTATATCCCTAGTACTTATTGATCTTATAACTGGAGGTTTGTACCTTTTGACCACTTTCCTCCAGTTCTCCCCCCCTACCCACCACACCTGGTAACCACAAATCTGATCATTTTTTGTAAGTTTTTTTTTTTTTTTAAGATTCTAAGTATAATATGTGAGGTCGTATGGTATTTGTCTTTCTCTGACTTACTTGATTTAGCATAATGCCTCAAGGTGCATCCATATTGTCTCACATGGCAAGATTTTCTCATTTTTTAAAGGCTGAATTGTGTATATATTCCATTGTGTATTTATACCACACCTTCTTTATCCATCCATCCATTGATAGACACTGAGGTTGTTTCCATGTTGTGGCTATTGCAAATAATGCTGCTGTGAACATCTCTTTGACATGGTGTTTTCATTTTCTTTGGATAAATACCCAGAAGTGGAATTGCTGGATCATATGGTAATTCTAGTTTTAATTTTTGAGGAAATTCCGTACTGTTTTCCATGGGGGCTGCACCAATTTACATTCCCACCAACAGTACCCCAAGGGCTCACTTTTCTCCACCTCTTTGCCAGCATTTGTTATCTCTTGTCTTTTTTGATGGTGGCCATTCTAATAGGCACAAGGTGGTATCTCATAGAGGTTTTAAGTTGCATTTCCCTGATAATTACGGACGTTGAGCCTCTTTTCATTTGGCATTGCCCATGTGTGTGTCCTTTTTGGAAAAATGTCTGTTCACAACCTATGCCCATTTTTATTTGGATCATTTGGGTTTTTTTCCTGTTGAGTTGTATGAGTTCCCTGTATATTTTAGATATTAACCCCTTACCAGATACATTGTTTGCAAGCATTTTTCTCCAGTCCGTAGTTTGTCTTCACTTTGTTGATGGTCTTTTTTTGCTGTGCAGAAGCTTTTCAATTTGATGTAGTCCCACTTGTTTTTTATTTTGTTGCTTGTGCTTTAGGTGTCATATCCAATAAAATCATTGCGAAGACCCATGTCAAGGAACTTTTTCCTATGTTTTCTTCTAAGAGTTTCATAGTTTCAGGCCTTAAATTCAAGTATTTAATCAATTTTGAGTTAATGTGTGTGTGTTGTATAAGATAAGGGTCCAGTTTCATTCTTTTGCATGTGAATATCCAATTTTCCCAGCACCATTTGTCGAAAAGACTCTTTTCTCCATTGAGTATTCTTGGTTCCCTTGTCAAATATTAGTTGACCACATATACTTCAGTTTATTCCTGCACTGTTGATTTTGTTCTGTTGGTCTGTGCATCTGTTTTTATGCCAACACCACACTGTTTTGATGACTGCAGCTTTATAGTATAGCTTGAAATCAGGCAGAGTGATGCCTTCTGCTTTGTTCTTCTTTCTCAGGATTGCTTTGGCTACTCAGGGGCTTTTGTATTAAGCACATTTTTAATCAGCCCTTTATAATGACATTTCAATCATAGGTCATGCCTTGAGTAAGAATGAAACTTATAAAAAGAATTAGCTGTACAAAATATAAGTCATGTGTCCTTATTGTTAAATGTTATAAAGAATTGTATAAAAGGCAATCAGCTGGGTAAATAACAATGTGTGTAGCAATGAAGGGAATATCATGAAGTCATGTAGTGGGTCATAGCTCCTATCCAGTGTGAGAATTCTCCTAACATGTTCAGATCTCCTCAAAAACTCTGAGATGGGAAGCTTACTATATCAGTGCCATTTAACTTTTAATCTAATCGTTCATTTAATCAGTGAACATTTTTGAGTGTGTTTTAGAGTACCAGGCCCTGTATTAGGCATTGGATTTACAAAGATAAAACAGAAAATGTATAATCTTGTTGGGAAAAGATCGTCACCCTGAGGATAACTGGGGTAGTGTGTCGGTGAGAGAGATTTGTGTAGCACTTTATGGAAATAGAAGGGGCACCTAATCAAATATTTATTGAGGGCATATTTGGGGTGAGGAGGGCCTCCTGAGTGAAAAGGGGCAAAGAGTGTGAGAAAAGGGAGGCACTGCAGTTCATGTAGACAGCACACCAAAGGCAAAGGAGTAGGAAGCAGCCTAGCATAGGCAATAAAGTGCCAGTAAACCAGAGGGTTGGGTCAAGGATTGAGGAGAATCCCCTTCTGCTACCCCTTCTGTTCGCTGTGACCAGTGGTTGGATCTGGAATCGTTCTCCCAGATTTTCAGGGGTAAGTGGGTAAAGGATGGTGTCCCCCATGAAGATAGAGGCTACAGGTAAAGCCACAAGTTCTGAAGAAGGAAGAGGTTGCCTTATGACCAGACCAAAATGTGCAATTTTACCACTTGGAAATATTCACCCTGTATTTATCCATTTGTCACGTTTCACTGTGCTTATTCTTAGCCACCTTTGTGTTCACTCCTCCTGTCTCCTCTTCTCCTCTCCCGGTACTAGTTTCTTCTTTTCCTTTTCCCATTCCTCCGTGATGGAACCAGACCTTGCTCCCTTATAGTGAATACTTTTGCAGTTGTTTACCAGGTGAAAAGAATACTGACATTTATGATCTTTTTTTTTTTTTTAATTTTTTTTTTCAATGTTTTTATTTATTTTTGGGACAGAGACAGACAGAGCATGAACGGGGGAGGGGCAGAGAGAGGGAGACACAGAATTGGAAACAGGCTCCAGGCTCTGAGCCATCAGCCCAGAGCCCGACGCGGGGCTCGAACTCACGGACCGCGAGATCGTGACCTGGCTGAAGTCGGACGCCCAACCGACTGCGCCACCCATGATCTTTTTAAAAGAGAAGATGTTTCTCTTTGCTTGTGTGTGACTCTCAAATTTTCCTTCTAGGTCATTGTCCATTTAAAGAGAGATTGAGATTCTCTAATTCTGATGTAGTTGTAATTGTGTGTGTTTTGGGCAATAAATATAATTTTTAGAGGAATCAGATGGTAGATCTAATATGCACATATCTTTTACTTGAAAGTAATATATTTGTAATTTTTCTACTCTTTCCCTTTCTCTTGCCCTCCTTTCCTCTTTGTCTCTGCAGTGTCTCTCTCTATTTTACTCCTCTACATTGTTTTGTTTTCATCTCTTTGAGATCATACAGTGGGATCTTTATTCGTGGGTGCTTAAAGTACATACAGTACTTCTGTTATTCTTTTGCCTTAACGTAGGGTCGTAAAAACTTGGCTACGTAATATAAAAAGACACCGTAATAACATAGGTATCAACATCTTTCTGAGCCTTTAATTTTTTCTCTTTTTAAAAAGTATGTCTTTCTTTCCATTATTCCTCTCTGTATCAACACACATGTGAATTAAAAATAAGCAATCCAATCGAGTTCACCGATCGAATTTAGCAGGATACAATTGGGGAGACATGGGTTCTGATGATGTTTGAGAGCACTCGTTCTAAGAGAGTGTGGTCTTAAAGACATGCCCTGGAAAAGAATTACTTTGATCGGATGCCAAGGTGGTTGCATTCCACAGATAGCATTGCTGCCTCTAGACACTATTGCCCCAAATTAGATTTCACCCTCATTTCATCTTCAGCTATAGCTGCTGGTTACCGTTAGCACGTAGGAGGGTATTTTGGACACTTCTTAATTTGCTCTCTTGTGATTATAGCATATTTTCTGAAAAAGGGGAGGATTCTAAGTTTTTAACTCAGGGCAAACAACTAGTGTTTATTCACTGTCAAAACAGAAAGGAACCTTAGCACTGTTTAGTTCAACACCATCTCTTCGTTGAATATTTTCTTTACATCTGGCAAATAATTTCTTGAAACCGTCCTTCTTCTCTCCACGGATCTGAGAATAGAACTTGGCTCTTCTCATTTCATAAATTGTCAGGTGATACTATTTACAACTGCTGTTAGGCAATCTCCAAACAGCCCTATACTTCAATTGTATTTTTCTTTACATTGAAAGATATATATTTGTTTAATGGAAAAGGTTGTTCAACAGAGCTTTTCTTTATTCTGTGTGTGTGTGTGTGTCTTTTCTCCCCCTGAGAAAAGACTAAAGATATTTTAAAAGGAAATCAAGGAAAAAAAATTATAATGCAAATACATCTGTAGCCCAACTTTTCCCCCAGCTCTAGATTTGTATATCCACCTGCCTAACCTTTCCAGTTGGACAGAAATACATGTGTCAAATTCCGCACAGCTACTTGTTTCTGATCGTCAGCCCAAATACATTCCACCCATGGTCTTTCTCACTCGGGAGATGTCACCTCCATCCTACTAGTTGCTAAGACCGAAGAACTTAGAATCATCTTAAATTACTCTTTGTATACCCACATTCAATCTGTATGGTAATGCTGTTAGCCTTACCTTCAAATACTATCTAAAGTGGGACCACCTCTCACCATCTCCAGCACAGCTACCCTGACCCAAGCCATTCTTCCCCTGGAGTACAGGTCTGAATTCCTTCATCTAGATGATTTGTGGAATACAGATTTTTTTACATTTTAGAGAAGTAATAAGGTAAATATGTATACCAAGGCAGGTTAATGTTTCTACAGTGAAACATAGGAATATTTACACTAATTTGGCTGCCAAAGACAGTTTGCTTAAGTGTAGGTTACTTTTGCCACCTGATGAGTTACAGAAACAGTCTGTGGATTTCAGCTTTATGGGTGAGAAAGCATGGACCTACACCACCGGAGCCTTCCAACAGGTCTCCTTGCTTCTACCCTGGTCCCTCCATGGTCTCTTCTCAACCCAGCACCTAGAGGGATCTTTTATCTTTGTTTTTTTAATGTTTATTTATT